AATAAAGGAGTAAAGGCTACGAAACGTCAATAAATAAATAAAGTTTCGTGCATTAACCCATAAAAACTAGTTTTATTTAATGAGTGATGTGCGTGAAAACCTAAGAAACAAATATGTTAACTTTATATACTTTTTTACAATTAAATTACAACTCTTTGTTTGTGATAATACAAGCTATTGCTATTACTTCACACTATTTGGATTTATTTACTATTGAACAAATTGATTCCAGAGCCAATTGCCTGATATTTCGCTTAAAAATGACAAAACAGACATTTTGTCCTTTATAAGTCCTCTAGCACTATCCATCTTACTAGATCCAGCATGCGGGACAACGCTATAGACGTAAAAGAGATGGAGATACAGTCGCCATAGCATGAGCACCACAAATTATATTATATCATGATTTTTATGATGTCTAACTCCATAGTAATTTGACAATTAATATATATCATATCGCGATGCTCATGCTAGGGCAGGATCTCTTTTACGTATACATATAGCTCTGTCCTGTATGCTGGATCTAGCTAGGTGGATAGTGCATGGAGGACTTTAGAATGTATGATCAAAAATCTTTGAAATTTGACCATTATTTTCAATACAGTAATATCTAGATCTTTTATATAAAATTTGTAGTTTCAATTTCAAAAACTTTTGAAATCTTAAATGTAATACAATCTCTTTCAATTTCTTGAAAGTCTATGGCCAAAACTTCATAGAATGCTATCTCAACAGTATGTCATACAGAAACGGCAAAATCCAGGATACCTATATTATGCAAAAGTCTACCTTATTGTTTTGCAATGGTTGTAAGAGAATAAGCTTATGACGAGTCAGGAATCAAATTGTCTGATAATATCATAAAAATAATAATATGTACCCCTCTAGCTTCAATTGTCATAATCGCCATAACGGACTTATTACACAAGATGCAAAAATCTAAAAATAAACAAGAGAGATTTTTTACCTTTTTTGGCTATATTGATGATCCTTACATCAAAATATTATTTAAAGTTTAAATAGATTTCCTACACCTTAGAAACAGCATTTTTTTTTTGGCACAAGGTGGCGTTTATGACAATTTTGGCCAAAAGGCTGGATAAAGAACAAAATAATTTGTACCCATTATACAATTCTGTTCATTAATCAAATGATGTGACTAGTGATGTAAAAAGACATTTACACATTTTAAGAAAAAAAACTTTTGACCTTTTCGACTTTAGCTTTATCTCTAAATTTGTTTTTTTTTTTCTTTGAAAGATAAATGGTTTTATTTAGGTAAATTATGTTTAAAATTTTCAAACATTCTTCAAAAGAGCTTGCTTAAATCAAGAATGTGAGGTAGGTTTTAAAATAAAGAGTCAACTATAATACTACTACTAAACTAAATATAAACTCTGCATTGATCTTTAACAGAAACTTCCCTAATTATTATGAATTTTGTTTTAGTTAAAAAATCAATGTACAGTGAAAAAAACTGTTTTTTGCATCACTTATTATCACATTACTATTATAAATAGTTTAATAATGGGCTGATTCTGTCATTATGCTCAAGACTGAATTTAAATTTGGCATAAGACACCTTTTCATTTTGTAGCATGACTCTAATGTACACTTTTGTCAAATTAAATTGTGGATTTAAAGAATCATCCCAGAATTAAAACCATTAACAGCAAATGATGATTGATTTACTTACCTCATCATTGAACTTATTAATCAGTTCTGGGCAAGATAGTGTATTTTCTGGTTCCCAAGTATCACTATCTGCAGAATATCCCTTCCAACGAATCAGATAATGTAATTTACCTTTGATTCTCTTGGAGTCAATAATTTTTTCTACCTAAAAGGGTTCAAATCAATTTAGGGGCTAAACTGTACATTCTGGGCCCATAAATTAACACTTCCCACAAGGTTAGATAAAAATAAAAAACAACAAAAATTGTGAAGTGTCATCTCTTAGGCCCAGAGTATTAGCCCAGTTTTACCAGTTTAGCTGTTTTCATTTACACCATTTTCTCATCAATATTTAGCTTCAACAGACCGTATGTTATGTGTACTAATATATAAAAATAAACATGTTCATCCTATATTTACCAGCATAAATCAAACCCACAGCTTTTGTAGCAGAAGACACAGAGCACTACACTACTAAAAGAAATAAAATAAGTATAAAAAATTTCAAATTAAAATAATTCGTATACAATCACTTCCAAACCTCATATTCCTCTTCATCAACGTTTTTATCATCTTTTTCAGCTTTCTTTTTCTTGCCTTTGCCTTTACCAGACTTGCTTTTTTTTGGGGTTTCCTTCTCTTTTGGTGTGTCAGCATTATCCTCGGTTTCCTTTACGACGCTATCGTCATTAGTTTCAGAATTAGCTTCCTTTTCATTTAGTTCAGTTGCGGGTTCTGCATCTGTTGTTTGGTCTTCATTTACAACTGACCCGTTTGTAGATGATGTCACATCATCATCTGTGCGACTTTTTGAAATTTTTCTCATGGTGAACTTAATAAATCACGCAAATTTTAACTATAAAATGTTTTATCTGAAAAGGAGGGAAAACGATGTAACACGCGACGCTTCGCTTCTAGCTTCACAAAACACAGATTAAAAACAGTGTTACCAGGAAGCCATTTCGCCTTACCCCAAAATTTACCCGTAATCCCCCCAAAATTCAGGTTTTTAAAGAAAAACACACATGCAAAATATTCATTAAAATACAATATTTACTACATAATATGTATTTCTGCAGACGGACCTTGCATGCTTCACAGAAGCAAGTCCTACAATTTCATTTGTTGTAAACGATATACACTCACACAAATGCACCAGGTACGACAACCCACTGCCATTTTACTCTGCGTGACAGTCAACCGTTCAATTCCTCCGATGAAATTTTTAAAATATGCCGTTTTGTGTGTTGAAATCATGTAAAAACCACACGAGTAAACTTAAAAATCCACAAGTAATCACCTACCATGCGTAAGTAATGACGAATCGTGATAATTTTTCTAAATTACATTTTATTTGTGTGATGAAAATTCAAAACAAAAAATACAACTGTGTGGCTACTTTTTTACACGAAAATATTCTTAAAAGTGGGGAAATTTGTATTTCATGCGTTTGTGACTCGGTAAGACAAGATTTCGTAACTTTTTAAGGTTCCGTATTCCGGTAAACGAAAAAGAACAGAACCCATATTATTCATACAAAAATACTCTTTTACGATTACTGGGTTTTAGTTATTCGAAACCGCAGAGGATAAAACATTCGGAACCCATCATCTGCCAGTACTGTGTGCAGTGCACATTTTGATGATGTAGATTTTATAACTACAGCTAATGGGCTACGTTGTCTGGTTCTGTACGCAATCTGCGCGTTTAAAAATCTATAGAATATTTATTCTAGAAAAAAGAAACCTGTCAAGGTTTCAGGCAGGACTCAAATCTGCGTGTTCCGCTGTCCGGGTGGATGCATTAACCACTAGCATTTGTGGTAGTTCCTATAATAAAAAAATTATAATATCAAGTTCCCAATTAGCCCTGATGGCACTGATTATTTCATTATTATAAATGTATATTATTAACCTCATACTTAATATTAATACACCAATATTTATATTTAAACAATAAATTGGTTTCTACGTAACATGTTTATTCTTTTGCTATCTCTGTGTTCATAAAAATTAATTTGATAGGCCAACATCATGTTTCTGGCAGTGCGACCCCGTGGTTATCCCATTATTATAATATATATTTGATTATATAATGTTAACAATGTTTTAGTTTGCAAGATTTAAAAAGTAAATTTAAAAAGTAGGTAAATTGATGATTTACCCGACAACCCTCAAATCACGCTCACGCGGTAAGCGGGCGGCCATTGGCATGCTTCACTCACTATTAGACGAAGTTACGTCCGTCTTTTTTTCAGGTCCGTGAGGAAAAGCATCATGAACAAATATAATTTAAAGAAACAATTGATAGAGTTGAAATGTGACAGCGACGAAAATCTTGAAAGTTTTTGATGTGTAACATCTTTCCTCTTGCTTTCCTGCAATTTGTGGGAGTGATTTCGTGAAATGGGACGGAAGTGTGTAACAGGAAGTCGCGAAAGCGCGCGCTATTTGATTGGATTTTAGAACATAATGTTCAAATGGCTTATTCCTTTTGTAGTAGGTTTTATTTCTTTTTGATGTGTTACATCTTTCCTCTCGCTTTCCTGCAATTTGTGGGAGTGATTTAGTGAAATGGGACGCAAGTGTGTAACAGGAACTCGCGAAAGCGCGCGCTAGTTGATGTGATTTTAGAACATAATGTTCATATGGCTTATTCCTTCTGTAGTAGGTTTTATTTCTTTTTTTACTAATATAAGGTGAGGTTTTAAATGTTACACATCATACGCGACTACAGTAAGGCTCGTTGTTTTGAAATATGACGACATGATCTCAAAAATGGAAGAATCCGATAAAGTTGTACATCTTTTGCTTGCATTACCAGATAAGTACAGCAACGTTACAGCAGCTCTGGAAGCTATGGAGATGAATTGACTTTGAGCAAAACGAAATCAACATTACTTGATACGGAAATACGATTGCAACACAGAATATATGTAAATCAACATAATGCGTGCGTAATTGAATGCTGAAATTGTAATGGAAAAGGACGCAAGGCAATATATTGTCGAAAATTTGGTCAAAATAGGTACTATCATAATATATCTATAAGAGGCCGAGGCGGTGAATTTAATAGACGTGGACGTGAATATAGGTTCGATGCAGAGGTGAAACAAGTAGAGCGACAACTTCGAGGGATGATACGGTCATAGCCAATTATGATAGATGGAGAATTCAGCTTAACTTGTACGATATCCAACAGATCGATTTCTTTTGTAGTAGATTCTGGTGTATTACCTAAATTGATATCGGCCTGTTATGAACAATACATCACAAGTATCGAACTTTTAGAGCATCCCATTAAAATAAACACAGCAAATGGACAACAGTTGATTGCTTATTACAGTGTTAATTTACCTATCAGATGCGGAAATGTTAAAATTACTATAGAAGGACTTATAATGGCTAATTTAGCGTATAATCTGCTGTCTGTAAGAAAGTTACTTGAACAGCCAACCGAGATTGTATTGAAAAGCGAATATGTCAAAATTAGCTTTATTAATGGTTTCAATATATGGGCATATAATAATGGAAAGCTTTATATTTTGCAGGGTGAAGTTATAGCAGAGGATGGAGCGGCTATACAAATAGTAGGTGGTATGTTGTGGCATAGACGATTAGGCCGTACAAGCTCAAAAATGTTACAAATATTACAGCTCCCAGTTAACAATAACATTGTAATGCATGTATGAAAGGTAAGGCAACTAGATTACCATTCAAAACTTTGGAAAGACCAAGATAGAGGGCCCATCCAATACTCCTACACTATTAGGTGAGGTTTCTATCCAAACGGCAATTGATGCCGGCGACTCTCACTTCTGCGTAGTTTTCTTACTAAAACGAAAAGCAGAAGCGGTTCAAAATATCATTACCTATATAAATAGATATGAAAATGAATTTGAAAAAACGGTTAAAAGGATAAGGTTTGTTAACGGAGGTAACAAACTAAGTAAATTTTGTAACAACAAAGGTATAGTTTTGGAATACAGTTTACCTTATTCACCAGCTAGCAAAGGTGTAGCAGAGAGGATGAATAGGAGTTTATACAAAAATGCAAAGACTATGCTCATCGAAACTCAGTTACCCAAGAATTTGTGGGGCGAAGCTGTGAAAAGTGCAGCTTATCAGCTAAACCGTTGCTCGTCTGTGGCTATAAACTATAAAACTCCATGCGTAGTAATGTACGACAGGAGAGGCTTAAACAAACTTCGTACATTTGGTGCAAAAGCTTGGGCATGTATCTTACCAAAGCCTGATAAATTTTCAGAAAGAGCATGAGAATGCAGAATTGTAGGATAAAGCAGAACAGGGTATAATTTATGGGACCCTAAAGACAATATTTGTTTCATGCGATGTAAGATTTGACGAAAATGATATTGTATACAGTGATAATAATAAAAACAAATGCAAAACTGTATGGCTCGGAGAAAGAGCATCAGAAAGTTTTTATAAAAAAAAATGAAGAAATTGAACGAGAGGGAAATATGGACAATATGAATATTAGATTATACGTCCGAAAGAAATACATGAGGATAGTGTTGCAGAATTTGACAAGAGAAGATAAGAACGAAAATGTGGTAAAAACAAGAAGTGGCAGATTAATTGCGCTTCCAAAATCATGAAAATAGAAGATTATGAAACATATGTAGCCTACTGTTTATGTACGGGTAATCCTAGTTCTTACAAAGAGGCAATTAACAGAGGTCAAGAGTAGCAAGAAGCGATAGAAAGAGAATTGAATTCTCTTAAATTACGGGACGGCGAGATCCGCGTCACTGCATTACCAACCCGAACGAAACAGCACGTTAAGTTTCAACGGCAGCGCGAACGAGACGGCGAGATCCGCGTCACTGCATTACCGACCAATCACGCGACCAGGACTCGACGTCACTTCCGAATAAGATTCAAAACAAACAGCAATTTTTATGAAAAAATATATTTTATAGTACTTACGAATGAAAAGGGTTTTATTTTTAGTTCTCGAGCAATTTGAGCACTTTTTAAAACACACTTAGGCATTGTTTTATCATATAAACACAAAATATTAGCAATATTTCTTTTTGGCCTTCGATCACTGTGATCGAAGTTTTTGGCGTTCACATGTACGTCGTTTGCTGTCAAATTGTGACTAAAGCGATTAGGGTCGTGGACCACAATTCATGCGGATCACTTTTGCGAGGCTAGTGCCGTATCTAGCCTTTTTGTTTTAATCTAAGTTTCGTAGTGTCGTATCTGAGTAGGTTTTTGGATAAGCCAACTATGTAACTATGGAAAGCAGCTAAGCGAGTATTGCGTTACCTAAAACATACGAAGTCGAAGTCTTTGAGGTATAAATTGGGTATTAATTGTCACTTAGTCGCTTATATTGATGCTGACTGGTCAGGCGACAAAACTGATAGGAAAAGTATAAGTGGATCTGTTATCTACTATGGTAACAATTTATTGGCCTGGTTTTCTATAAAAAAACGTTGTAGCGTTATCAACTGCCGAAGCTGAGTATATAGCTGCTGCTCTAGCATCTGCGGAATTGGTTTATTTAAAAGGTTTACTTCAAGATTTTTATCAACCGTCTGATGCATTATTATATATTGATAATCAAAGTGCCATTAAATTGATAGAATTAAATTAAAACTGCAAGAGATCGAAGCACATTGACATTAAATACCATTATATCAAAGATTTAGTATCGAAACGAGAAATAGTTATTAATAATGTGAGTATAAATGAAAATGTACCCGACATTTTAACAAAAGCTTTAGGAAAACAAAAGCACAATTACTTTATAGGAAAAATAGGACATTGTTGATTTGTTTGTTATTTTGAGTTA